CATTATAGGAATAGATGTTAATGATGCTGTGTCCATGCGTTCAACTATTAGCACGTTATCTAATTCTAACTCCATGTCACGGTATGATCATTATAAACTTTTTTTTATTACTAACTGTATACTGTCACTACTTTCGTGAAGCCATATAACTGAATTAACACTGTCTCAATTTTCTGTTGTTGCAAAGGTTACAATATTCTACTCCAGTTGATTCCTATGGAAGTAGTTCTTCAACTCATGCCTTCCAACAGAGTGAGATAAAAAAAACCCTATTCATTATGTATTTACAAAAAAATATTTCATATGCTGTGCGTGCTCATACTATCACATTTTTTGTGTGATGATTTTATTACGAAATTGCAGATTGTAATTAAATTTTCCTTACAACAAGAAAAAATATTAAAAATGTTCGTAATAAAATGAGGTCTGATATCTTCATGTTAAACATTACTTCTAACTGTAAAGGTATTTGCATGAATTTAAATTTTGTTCATTTTCTGTATCGAATAAAAATTATGCATCTTTCGTGTTTTTTTTTGATCGTTTTTTGTATGTATTAAGATTATTGGGATGCGGGAGATCCTACTTTTGTTTGCGAGAAATGTGGAGCACATATGTGGTACGAGGAGAGGAATCAAAAAGATCGTAAACCCATCACACCAGAGTTTAGTTTGTGCTGCGTAAATGGAAAAGTGAAACTTCCTTTGTTAAAACTTCCTCCTGATGCGTTGCTTAAATTGCATGATAATTCAAATGTCAAGAGCCGCCACTTTTTACGGAATATTCGAGCATACAATATGATATTTTCCTTCACCTCCTTTGGAGCAAAAGTGGACGGATAAGTGAATCAAGGTTCTGGCCCTAATTATTTTAGAGTTGGGGGACGAGTGCATCATTTAATAGGCAGCCTCATTCCAGCTGACAGTCATACTCCAAAATTTGCTCATCTATATATATATATATATATATATATATATATGATACTGACAATGGAGTGGACAACAGATTGGGTTGTTTAAGGCATGTTGTTGTTTTCTAATCTATTGTCATCTATCAATTACGGTGTATGTTTTGTTATTCATTTTTTACTTATTTTTATGAAATCATTCTTGCAGTAATGTAAATAGTGAAGATATGCTTGATCTTGATATTGTCCGATCATTGAAGGAAATGTTAGATGAACACAACAGTATTGCTCAATCTTTTAGGTACGCTAGAGATCGATATAGGGAAGATGACTTCAGTGGAGTAAAGTTGAGGCTGATTCGAAAGCGTGGAAGTGATGGCAGAGTTTATAATCTTCCCTCTGCATCAGAAGTTGCTGCTCTAATTGTCGGGGATATAGACAACGCATTGGGTGATAGGGATATTGTTGTTGAGACACAAGATAGAGTTTTGCAGCGTATAGATGTCAAGCATCCGTTGTATCTTGGTTTGCAGTATCCTTTGTTATTTCCTTATGGTGAAGATGGTTATCGTGATGATGTCGAGCGATCTTATATATCCCGAGGTAGGACGAATCCAAGATCCACTGTTAGCATGCGGGAATTCTTTTCGTTCAGGATTCAAATGAGATCAGGAGAGTCCCAAATTCTCCATCACTCAAGGAAGCTTTTTCAACAATTTTTGGTTGATGCTTACACTATGGTTGAGTCTGATAGGCTGAATTTTATTTGATATAACCAGAGTCATCTCAGGGAAGAGTTATACAAAAATTTAAAAAATGCATTTGACAGGGGTGAAGACGAAGCTATAAATACTGGAAAGCGTATCGTTATTCCATCTTCGTTCACAGGCGTACCTAGATATGTGGCTGAGAATTGTAAAGATGGCTTTGCATTTTGCCGTTGGGCTGGATATCCTCATCTGTTTATAACGATCACCTGCAATCCTAAGTGGCCAGAGATTATCAGATTTCTTAAGGCAAGCAACCTTAACGCTGAAGATCGTCTTGATATTCTTTGCAGAGTATTCAAGTTCAAATTGGACCAATTGCTACATGATTTAAAAAATGGTCATTTTCTTGGCACAGTTAATGCACGTAAGTTTATTGTTGACTTTATTTTTTTTCGAGTTTGATGACATGAGTTACACGTTGATATATAGAAGATAATTGGACAAATCTTATCACAAATTTATGTATCCTACCAAAAAAATTCAAAAAAAAAAAATTGACTATGACCAATTTGTTGATTTTAACTAACTCTGTTTGTTTGTTCCAACGTAACAGGTGTTTATACAGTTGAATTTCAGAAACGTGGACTGCCTCATGCTCATATTCTACTTTTTTTGCATCCCTCCGCAAAGCCTAATACTGGACTCGACATTGATAATTTGATTTCAGCTGAAATTCCTAACAAAGATTCCAATCTTTCACTTTTTGCAGCTGTCACGAGTTACATGATGCATGGATTCCCTCATTATAAAAGAAGAAATAATGGGAGTGTTGTCAAAAAAAGTGGCGTCGAACTCGATAACCGTTATGTGGTGCCGTATAATGCAAAGCTTCTTTTAAAATATCAAGCGCATATCAACGTTGAATATACTTGTCAGAGTAATGCCATTAAATATCTTTTTAAATACATACATAAAGGGCAAGACAGGGTGACAACTGCTATAAATCATTCAGATGATGAAATCAAAATGTTTTATGATTGCAGGTTGTTGAATTCATCTCGGTTATATTTTCCTTTCGTTACTTGGAATAACCTTTTTCAAGCTTATTTTGACTTTATTGCTTATATATGATAGGTATGTATCCGCGTGTGAAGCTGCTTGGAGAATATTTGGATTTGAAATTCATTACAGATTTCCCCTGTTCAGAGATTGCCGTTTCACCTACCCAATGAAAAGACCGTTGTTTTTAGTGATCATGCTTCAATATGTCATGTCAAGACTATGGCAGAAACTAGACAATCAATTTTTGAGTCTTGGATGGATGCAAATAAAAAATATCCAGAAGGTAGGCATCTCACTTATGCAGAGTATCCAACTCAATTTGTTTATAAAGAAAATATTCATGAATGGCATCCCAGAAAACAAGGATTTTCAATTGGAAGAATAAATCGTTTTTATGCCAATAATGGAGAAGATTCCTATCTTTGAACTTTACTTAATTTTCAAAAGGTTGTACAAGTTATGAAGATTTCAGAACTGTGAATGGGGTGCTTTTTCCTACATTTAAGGATGCCTGCTATTCTCTGGGACTTTTGGATGATGACAATGAGTACATTGATGCAATTAAGGAGGCAGGTTCTTGGGGGTCAGCAGCTTATCTTAGAAATATGTTTGCTTTATTGTTATTTAGTAACTCAATGAACAGGCCTGAAAATGTTTTCCAAAAATGCTGGGAATTACTATCTGACGATATTCTTTATCGGCATAGGCAAATAATCGGCAATGAAGGTAATTGTCCTGAACAAATTTTGTGCATTAATTTATGTGTATTGTGAACTATAATTAAATTTTTTCCATTTTGTGTCGTGCATTCATTTATGCAAACCGTTTGCCTATGTTTATATATAGATTAAGAGTTTATTAATTGCTCCACCCTGCATATATGATTGCTCAACATCATTAATTCATTGGACCTTGGAAAAAATATGAGTTTCTTTTTTGTTGCTTCTTAAAAAAATTACATCTATATATCATACACGGTAGTATTCTTAATATTTGGTTAAATGTTTTTGTTAAGTTTCCCACACTATGCTTTGTTCACAATTTCGCTTTATTTCTCTTTACTCACCAACTTTGTCTTTGTTAATCCTTTTTTTTTGTATTTTTCAATTTTTTTCAGATGCGTTTCTTACGGAGGATTCTATAAAAAACATAACCCTTGCAGAAATTGATAAGGTGTTGCAGAGCAATGGTAAATGCCTCTCTGATTACCCATCAATGCCGAGTATCGTCGGTGAATCTTTATTGGATATGCAGAATAGATTGGTGATGGATGAATTGTTGTATGACAGTTTCTATCTGAAAAAAGAGCATGATAGACTACTGAATTCACTCACTGATGAGCAGAGGGTTGTTTATGACAAAATCATTTCAGCTGTTTCAACAGGCAAAAGAGGTTTTTTTTCCTGTACGGCTTTGGTGGCACTGGAAAAACATTTATTTGGAATACCCTGTCAGCATTTGTTCGATCAAGTGCTGGAATAGTGCTTAATGTTGCTTCTAGCGGAATTGCTTCACTTCTACTTCCAGGAGGACGTACGACACATTCTAGTTTTCGTATTCCTATTCAAATCACCGAAGAATCAATGTGTAATATAAATCAAAAGTCTACTTTGGCAGAGTTGTTGTCAAAAACAAAGTTAATCATTTGGGATGAGGCCCCGATGGTACACAAATTTTGCTTTGAGGCTCTTGATAGAACACTTAAAGATGCTCTTAGATCTTACGATACCAGCTGTGTTGATATGCCCTTTGGTGGAAAAGTTGTCGTTCTAGGAGGTGACTTTCGACAAATATTACCCGTCATTCCACATGGCAGTAGACAAGAGATAGTTCATGCAACAATCAATTCTTCCTATCTATGGTCCCATTGTCATTTGTTAACTTTGACCAAGAATATGCGTCTCAGTTCCGGAAGTAGCACTAATAATTTGTTGGAAATAAAAGAATTTTCTGAGTGGCTACTTAAAATAGGAGATGGTGATCTTGGAGATGATGTTGATGGAGAATCTATTATAACAATTCCAGATGAATTGTTGATCAAAGGTTCAGAAGACCCACTTTCAGATATTATTGATTTTGTCTACTCGAATCTGATGGATAATATATTAGATCCGTCTTTCTTCAAAGAACGTGCTCTTCTAACTCCTAAATTGTCCGATGGTGCCATGTTTAAACGAGCACCTAATGGCTATGATCCCGGGTGAAGAAATGACATTTTTGAGTTCAGATAAGGTTTTGAAACAAGATGAGAATTCATCTCTTGAGGATGACGAAATCTCCCCTAAGATCTTAAATACATTCTCATGTTCGGGGATTCCTGATCATAAATTAATTTTGAAGGTTAAAGTACTGGTTATGCTATTGAGAAATATTGATCAATCAAGAGGTTTGTGCAACGGTACGAGATTACTTATTACAAAGTTGGGGAATCATGTTGTTGAGGCAATCGTTCTTACGGGAAACAATATAGGAGATACTGTGTTAATCCCTAGAATGACGATGAGCCCATCGAGTCATACATTTCCAGTAAACTTTCAAAGAAGACAATTCCCCCTGGTAGTTTCGTTTGCGATGACTATCAACAAAAGTCAAGGACATTCGTTGTCTCATGTTGGAATTTATCTTCCTAGGCCTATCTTCACTCATGGGATATTATATTTGGCACTATCTAAAGTAAAGAGCAGGCATGGATTGAAGATGCTGATACTCGATGAAGATGGATGTGTTACAAATACTACTTTTAACATCGTCTATAAGGAAGTATTTCAAAGGTTACTGTAGTATATACTTGGTTACTTCTACAAAGAGATACAATTACTGTTTGTTATCAAGTAAGAACTCAATTTCTTATAAGAAAATATTTTTTAATCTTCTTTGTTGCATTGCTTTAGTTGTTATGCCTATTTTTCTGCTAATTTTTTTTTTATTGTTATGCACATTCAGTATTCGAGGCACAATCAATATTTTATTCCCTTGTCATTTTTCAGAGTCAAAGGTTTTTTCATTGTAATTCTGAATTATTCATCTATAATGAACTATAAAATTCCCTTCAATAATTTTTTCTTTTCCAATTATTGTTTATATATTGTTTATGATTCATTTCTAACAGGATTAAATACCAATAGTGCATGATGGAAGAGATTTTACAACTGTTGCGAGTATTGGTTGGGCAGATTTCTTATTATATTGCTGTCAACATGACATTTGCATTTCTTTTTGATGGAGATTCTGCTGTCAATTCTTGAATTTACTGTGTTTAAATTATTATATTCCTTTTTTGTTCCTACCTTAAAAGTTACACGTTTATGTCATACGAACAAACCGATTTTTGTATTAATTCGTTTAAGGGACAAACAAAACGATTTATTTTTTCTCCGTGCATCGCACGGGTAATCAACTAGTTATATAGTTGAGGTTGTAAGAGTTATAAACAAAAAAGTTGTAAACGTAATCCTCCCCATATATATAGAGGTAGGATCCTTTGACATCAGTGTCAAATTTTAAATTTGACACCTCATCTGATAGCCGTTAGATCAAAAAAATTAATGGTGTCACATGCTTGCAAATCAGAGTCGTTGATCTTTTTTGATCTAATGGCTTTCATATGAGATGTCAAACTTGAAATTTGACACTGGTGTCAAAGGATCCTACCTCATATATATATATATATATATATATATATATATATATATATACTATAGGGAAAAATGTTTCTGCAGTTAATGCAGATAAGTTATCTGCATTTATTCTCAAAACGACGTCGGTTTGGTATTGAAATCTTAAAAAATTATAAATATAAAGACTATTATAACCCTGAAATAAATTAAAATTATAAAAACACCATGATTTCCGTCCCAAAACGACGTCGTATTGGGCTTACTGCAGATAAGTTATCTGCAGAAAAAACGAACCCATATATATATATTATGAGGTAGAATCGTTTGATACCAGTGTCAAATTTAAAGTTTGACACCTCATCCGAGAGCCGTTAGATAAAAAAAGACCAACGACTCTGATTTGTAAGCATGTGACACCATTGATCTTTTTTGATCTAACGGCTATCAGATGAGGTGTCAAACTTTAAATTTTGACATCGGGGTAGTATTCTTTGGCATCGATGTCAAAATTTAAAGTTTGACACCTCATCTGATAGTCGTTAGATCAAAAAAGATCAATGGTGTCACATGCTTACAAATCAGAGTCGTTGTTATTTTTTTTTCTAACGGCTCTTAGATGAGGTATCTATTAGAAGGTAAAAGAGAGTAAAGAGAAAATATTGATTTCATTAATTGTGGTGAATTAATTTGTACAATGAGTGAGCTCTTATATAGAAGAGCATAACAGAAAAGAGAGAGATCTAGAATATCATTAAAATACTAAACTACCCTTATACCTAATATCTAATACTCCCCCTCAAGATGGAGAGTGAACAAAGAGAACTTCCATCTTGAACAAGAAAAATAAAGAAAACATAATAACCAAATAAAAAATCCCGAATGAGAAACCAAAATCTTCAGTGTGTTGAAATGAGCTTCAGCGAAATCAATGGTGCTGGTATGGACATCAGCTAAGGAAGAGAGGGCTGGGATGGACATCAGCCACAAAATACCAAACCTTCAGTGTGCTGGAATGAGCTTCAGCAAAATCAATGGTGCTGGTATGGACATCAGCTAAGGAAGAGAGGGCTGGGATGGACATCAGCCACAAAATACCAAACGGTGCCGGGATGGACATCGACAAAATCAAATGTTCTGAAATGAACATCAACAAACTCGAATAACACCACAAACATATGTGGGAATAAAAACTAAATGGCCAAATACAAGCCAGAAGCAGTACATCAGGAAAATTAAAAAATTACATAATGAAAAATCCATCAAAAACTACAATGATATATTGCAATAAAATCCATGAGATCCATGAATCTTCATGGACCTGCAAAATGAGAAGATTCTAGAGAAAAAAATAATAAAAAAAAATCGCAGACCGAAAAGGACAAAAAACCAGAGAAGAAAAACACACATATGAAATGTGAACAATCTGGAATAGAAACAGTCGGAGATGGAAGATGCGGCCGGAGAATGAGACACGGTCGAAGGTGATGACCGGAAATGAAGAAGATGCAGCCAAAAAATATTGATAACAAATGAAACAGATCAGGGACGATGGAAAAAGAAAAATGCAAAAAATAAAAACGAAACAGATCTGAAAGAAAAAAAAATGTAATAGAAGAGTAAAGAAATGAGACACAGATCTGGAAGGAAAAACCCAGTAGATCTGGAAAATTCAAAAAAAACTATGGGAGAGATAAGGATGCTAGATGGACGGTGATAAAACACAACGCCAGTGGAGAAACTATGGCAGCGCAAAAATTAAAATAAATAAATAAACATACCTAAGATCTGAGAACAGAAACGATGGCAACAAAGATCTGAAATCGAAAATGGGAAAGCAAATCGGAGCAAACATTTGGAAAAGGATAATCAATGAAGAAAAACAAAAGAAAAAAAAAATGACGGCAAAAGTTGATCCACGACCAGATCTGGTGGATAAAAAAAAAGTTGAACCTTAGATTTGTGAGAATGAGAGAAGGATAAAAAAAAATTGTAGATCAGTTTTATCTGGAAAAATAAGACACCGAACAAATCGATGAAGAGAAAACTAAAAAAAATAATAGCAGCGGAAGATTCATTCATGGAGGATAAAAATGCTCTGATACCATATTAGAAGGTAAAAAAGAGTAAAGAGAAAATATTGATTTCATTAATTGTGGTGAATTAATTTGTACAATGAGTGAGCTCTTATATAGAAGAGCATAACAGAAAAGAGAGAGATCTAGAATATCATTAAAATACTAAACTACCCTTATACCTAATATCTAATAGTGTCAAACTTCAAATTTGACACCGGTGTCAAAGGATCATGCCTTATATATATATATATATATATATATAATGAACTTAATTATTTTTAAGGTGAGTTGGCTCTTAGATAGTCCCATAAACTTCAATTTTTTGAGTTGATTATAAGACTAATTCTAAATTGAAACTTAATCATATTTAAGGTTTTTTGTCAGTCCCAAAGATAATTGTTTATTGTATTCTTTGATTACGAGTTTATACTTTATATTGACAAAGAAGAAATTATAGTTGGAAAACGTTACCAATGGATGGAGTTTTTTTTTTTTTGGTTATCAGTGTTTTATTTCTTGATCTCTCCCACTCACGATTTCAACAATAGCTAGCCTAATTAAATTAAATAGACTAAAAAATATTATACAAAAGGTGGACTTGGGTTATGATCTTCTGGCCCTTTGGATGGAGAGTGAACATGAAAGATTGAAAACGAGTTCCCGATAGTTCATTCAAGTAATGCTAATTAACAATTTCCAAAATGTAATGCTAATTAACACATTCAAATCTTTTAGGATAAATTAAACTTGGAATCCTTGAAGTTTCGTGATTAGCTAATATTATATATATATACCGTGTACAATGCATATTAATTTACACATTCAAATCCTTTAGGATATGTTATACTTGGTGATTAGCTAATATTATATAAACCATGCAAAATGCACATTAATTTTAACAGGACTTTCTCATTGACGTGAATATAATGTCCTTAAAGTCAACGTGAAATAATTTATTCCTTTCACATTAGCTAATAAAAGATATACCAAGTGCCATATGAGTTTTAAAAAGACTTTTCAATTTAAGTGACAAAAATGTTGTTAACATGAATTAAGTGAAATATTAGTTTCCTTTACATTTGCACAGTTTCCATTATTTGAGTCTAGCTCGTTTAGTAACGGTAAGAACGTGCATCCAAAATTTGTAAGTTTGGCCATTCAGCTTCGTGGATTCATACGATACTAAAAAGTTTAGTCTTGCATAGCGGATCAGTGTTCTTGTACATTTCAACTCTAAATGGCCGAAGGACAAGGAACTTCCTTTTATTCAACAGGTGAATATGCATATGATGTGTTTTTGAATTTCAGAGGAGCAGATACTCGTGAAGGATTTACCAGCCTTCTCCTCAACCATCTGAAAGAGAGAGGAATCCGAACCTTCTTTGACGAAGACTCGCTTAGAAGAGGAAAACAAATCAACTCCTCCCTCTTAAGAGCCATCGAAGAATCGAGGGTTGCCGTCGTTGTATTCTCTCCAAACTATGCGTCCTCAAAGTATTGTCTGGATGAACTTGTCCATATCCTCGATTGCTGTAAGGGTATCGACCGGTTGGTTTTGCCGGTTTTCGTGGACGTGGATCCCTCACAAGTAAGACATCAGAGTGGGGCTTATGGTGAAGCCTTGGATAAGCACGAGAAACAGGATCACGTTGACAAGCAGAAGCTTCAAAGATGGAGGCAAGCGTTAACTGATGCAGCTGATTTGTCAGGCTGGCATATTCAACAAGGGTATGCTTGTTATTACATTTTTTTCTTTTCTTTTTTTTTCTCCCCCTCACTTGCAATGCAAATTACTGAAAAATATTTTTGATAAAAATGTTTGGATTTTAATTCCTTTTAACCTTATGGTAATAACCATCACCAAAAAATTAAGATCCATCGTACCAAATCATAAAGTAATATTAAGAAAAGTTGAGACATGTCTGTCTCCATAGCAGCGAAATAACTTTGATATTCTCCTTAATTTGGGTATGCAATCTTCTTTTGTCAAATAGCCCTAATCATCATTCTTTAGTATGCTTTTCTTTTTTGGGGTATGCGATTTTCTTCAGTCAAATAACCCTAATCCTTAATCTTTAGTGTGCTGTCTCTCTCTTGATGGGGAAGAGAAACTAGTGTTGTTTATTATATGACATATTGGGACCATAACCCATTATAGTATTTTTCTTTATTGTTGGGCCAGTAAGCTCCTATTATACCTACTTGGCCCAACACCCAGTATCCACACATTTGACCCACACTTACTCATGAATCTATTTAGGCATATTTATTTGATCACTTTAATTTACCTAATATATATTAAATGGGAAAAACATCTATCCTTTTAAAGGATATAAGCTTATATCCTTTTAGATCCTAATCGTTGATTTCTGTCCATCAACAGTTATAATCTATTGGGTCAAACTTAATGGGCCAAATTTATTATTAATTAATTAATAATTTTGATCCAATAAATTATAACCGTTGATGGAAGGAAATCAACGGTTAGGATCTAAAAGGATATAAGCTTATATCCTTTAAAATGACAGATGTTATTCCCATATTAAATAACATAATATAATTATTAATACAATATGTAGCCCACAAACACATTAGGAAATATAATTTCCTAACTCCCACTTGGGCTACACATTGGTCTGAAATAATTATATCATATATCCTTAGTGCGTAACTGTATACTATTTATCTTTAGATTCCGCTTCAGATACAATCTGGTACATCTCCCATATTAATATGAGATCATGGTGGCTTTTGTCTCTGTCAAGCGTAACTAAACCTTCCATGGTCATCACACCAATATATTCAATGACATAGATTAAGTATGCCTATTTCCACTATGCCTATTTCCAACTATGCCTATTTCCAACTGGTCATACTTTTTTTATGAGATCAATCCTTAAGTTTCTGCATACACAAAGCAGAAACTCAAGCACAAAATATGCGCAGTCAGAGAAAAAAAAACATCAAAATCTTTATTCTGCAGAAAATAAACATATAAATATTTTTACATAAAACTTCAACATAAAGAACTCCCACTAAACCATAAAAAAACAACACCCATACAAGCAGTATGCTCGTGAAAAACCTTAGGCACTAAGCCTTTAGTAAGCGGATCCAGAAGTATGGAGTTCGTCCCTATGTGTTCTATAGAAATATGACCATTTTGAACTCTTTCTTTAACAACCAGAAACTTTATATAAATGTGAATCGATTTTGAAGAGCTTCTATTATTGTTAAAGTACAACACAACTGACTTATTGTTATAATAATTCTTTAGTGGCTTTTCAACACCATTTACTATATGCAGCCTTGTGACAAAATTTTGCAGCCATACCCCATGGTTGGACACCTCAAAATAACCTACAAATTCAGCGGCCATAGTAGAGGAAGCTATGAGTGTCTTCTTAGCACTCTTCTAAGATTAGCTCCTCCAGCTAACATGTAGCCATAACATGACGTGGATCTTTTACTGTTTTGGCATCAGAAAAATTGAAGTCAGTATACCCGAAGATCTCTAATTCATCTGACCTCCAATATGTGAGCATGCAATCTTTTTCTCTCTTTAAATACCGCATAACTCTCTTGGCTGGTTTCCAATGATCCATTCCTGGATTGCTCAGGTATTTGGCTAATACTCACACTATAAATGCTATATCAGGGCAATGACAAACTTGAGCATACATAAGGCTTCCTACTGTCGAAACATAAAGTGCCTTTTTCATTTCCATCATATCAAGCTTACCTTTGGGGCATTAACCGAGACTAAACTTGTCTCCTTTAGATATGGGTGTGTCTCCTGATGTACAATCCTTCACACCAAATCTATCCAATACCTTGAGAGAGATCTCGAAGTATCTGTATTTCCAAGAAAAAAAATGTATCACCAAGATCCTTCATCTTAAAAATTTTAGTGAAAAATTTCTTGGTTTCATGCAATAAGCCTATATCACGACTGACAAGTAATATATCATCAACATATAATATCAGGCATATGAATTTAATCCCACTGAACTTGTGGTACACACAATCTTTAACCAAGTTCACCTCAAAGCCATACGAGATGATAACTTGATGAAATTTGTGATTCAATTGACGAGAAGCTTGCTTAAGGCCATAGATGTACTTCTTTAATTTGCAAACCAAGGACTTTGAATCTCTAAATACAAAATTTTCTGGTTGCTCAATATAAATAGTTTCATCAATGTTACCATTGAGAAACACTGTATTCTCATCCATCTGATGTAGCACCAAATCCAAATGAGCCACAAGTGCCATTATGGTCCTAGAAGAGTCCTTCGTAGAAATCAGAGAGAATGTCTCATTGTAGTCTATGCCTTCCTTCTTAGTGAAACCTCTAGCAACTAGACGTGCCCTATATATTTTGATGTTGCCCTTGGAATCCCTTTTGGTTTTAAGGACTCGTTTGGTGGACAGGATAGGATAATGGTAGGATATGATATGGGATTGATAAGAGTAGGATATGATATAAGGCTGATAAGCCTATACCATGTCCTGTGTTTGATATGATAAGATTATGTAGAAGGGGAAAGGAGAAAAAAAATAAAATATAATGCAATAAATACAAATATATTGGGTAGCGCGAGGATATATTGGGTAGCGTGAGGATATATTGGGTATCCAATATTGGTATCCTATCCTATTGAATCCTAACTCAGCTCCCCTCATAGGATAAGAAATCATGTATTAGATAGGATAAAATGAGACAATAGGATAAACTAATCATATCCTATTGACCCACAAAACAAGAGATAAAAGTAGGATATTATAAGTTATCCTATCCTATCTTCTTTATCAGGTGCTCCAAACAGGCCCTAAATATCCATTTACAACCAATGGGTTTCGCACCTTTAGGCAACTTGACAAGATCCCAATCGTCATAGCCTTTTATAGATTTCATTCATCTTTCATGGCATCAATCCAATTACGAGCATCAGATCTTTCTAAGATTTGTTTGAAATTGATTGGATAATCTTCCTTCAAGCTAAAATATTTCATGCTCTTGAAGAAACACAATATAATCATCTGGAATTGATTTTCTTCTTTCTTTAGTGGGTCTCCTTAATGGTACTTGTTGAGTTTGTTCTTCATGTGCCATAAGAGGTGGTTCATTGTTGTCTTGACCCAAAGTAATGTCAGGGACCGAAGTCTGTTACCTAACAATGTCTAGAATAGGGACCTGATCATTAAATGTTTGTACCGGAATTGTATCTTGAACGATGATAATATTAGGGAGAGAAATATAATTTTCTTCCTCATCAAAGACAACATTCATTACTTTATCTTCCCCCCAAACTCAACAACCTCAATGAATCTAGCATTTCCTGTCTCAATTTTATTTTTTTTGTAGTGGGATTATAAAACTTAAAACTCAGAGAGCGTTAAACATATCAAACAAAATAACAGCTGATTGTTCTTGATTGCAACTTTCTTTCATTTGGCCTATAAGGCATTACTTCAGCTAGACAACCCCAAATGTGTAATTGTCTTAAGCTAGGTTTCTTTTTCAGTCCATAGCTCATAATCGGTTTTTGTCACTGCTTTGCTTGGAATCCTATTAAGGACATAAACTACAGTCTCTAGTGTTTCTCCCCAAAAGTGACTCAGGTTAAGAAGAATGACTAATCATACTTCTCACCATATATTTAAGAGTCATATTTTTTCTATGCGTAAAAATAGAAGGTAAATACCTTATCCTGTTTCTTTTGCTTCTTTAGCATGGGAGATTCATCTGCAATGTCCTTAGCTCACTTCTTTCTCTTATTCTGAGAGGTTGATGCTAAGTGAGCACTATCTGTCTTTTCGCGCTGAAGCTTTTCTTCCATTTGCACATAGTGAGCAACGTGCTTATTAAGAGTCCATTTGTCATTTTGGGTGTTGTAACTCACTACAAATTGACCGTATTATGCAAGAAGAGAAATAAGAACCAAGTGCACGAGCAAATCAGCAGATAACTCTAACTTTAGTGCCTAAAATTTTCTAGCAAGAGTATACATCTCTCTAATATACTCCCTTACGTTTCCCTTTCCTTTATACCTCATGGTTACAAGTTTTGCCAATGTGTTACTTGTATCTGCCTTTTCATTTGGAGCAAAGTATTGCTCGAGTTCCTTCAGAAACTTCTTGACATCAGTAATCTCAACTATCAAGCCCCTGAATATGATGTGAAATCGGCAAGTATACCGTGCGTTTCAAGTAATAAAAGTGATGAGTAAAGATCGTTCCCTCGAGAATTAATGCACCAACTATTAATTTAACTCTTCCCATTGATTTGGAAAAACTCGGTTTGAATGTGAAAATATTTGTTGACAGAAATTTAAAGACAATAAGAATCAAACGCATGCAAAAAATATCAAGAACGTCAAAGAAAATGTGAATAATTGAATTTGTAAAAAAACTGCAGTCAGGATGCACTTCATCTCTGATCCTCTTTTATATTCCTAAATTGAATTTTATAACTAACTAATGCATTAGCCCAGACAATTCATTATTTTCCTATTAAATAGTTGAACCCTAATGTCTTAGTGGTTTTAACTACTTAACCCGATTAGAATCCTAGTGTCCTAGTAATTTCTCTTAAATTAAGCATTAAACAAATGAATCTAAAAGTCCGCAATCTATGTAAGCCTATGTCTAGATCATACACAGATTGTTATTCTACCCTTGTCTAGATTAAAACTCCAATATTCCTAGTGTGAGCTCTAACTCTCAAAACCCTATAATAGAGTGATCAAGTCTATAAAGGATGTGAAAAAATTAACACAGGCAGAATAAAACTAAATAAATTAAATTAACTATAAAAACAATTTAAAAACTAAAATGGATTCACATTGGGTCCGTGATCCCAACTACAAAAAGAAAACTAGCTAGCCAGACATATCTGGCTTTAACAAATTAAAATAGTAAAAAGAATTCATAACAAAGAAAGAAAAGAAAAAGATGAAGAAGGAAGATCAATGGTCTTCAATCTTCAAGTTCTTAGGAATCCTGATCTCCAACGTGAGTCTCCTCCTCTGAATATTGTTGCCTCTATCGAATTGTGTCCTTGTGTTTCCAATAGACGCCTTTTTATAGGATGAAATCATATCTTTTAATTTTTTATAATATCTTCAATGGAATCTTCACTAAAATCTCTAATCATATCTTTGATCCAATCCTTCAAATCTTTCCTTTTTTATTTAATGGAAAACTTTCCTTAAAAATATTCAAACGAAGATTTGATAAGATCTTGAATGATTCAGAAATCCAAAGCGACTCTATTTGTTCTCTCCAATTTATCTCTTTATTGAGCTGAGCTGAAATTTACTGCAAAATATAAGAAATCTTATGAGAATATTATTAAAAATAAAATAACAATTTAACTATAATTCTCATAACTTTTAAATACTTTTAAATCAATTTCATGCTCATATTGACACTTAATACATAGTAATTTGGAGACTCATCAGAATTCCTGTAGAATGGAGCATTTCATGATCATCAGAAACATGCGATTTGAGCATTCCCACTTCTTAATTTTATCCGTATTCGGATTTTTCTGGAGTGGAAGTGGGTTTCTCAGTCCTTAGCGCATTGTCCAAATCCATGGAGCCGAGAACATTTTTCACATTCTCTTTCCATAGCTTGAAATTCGCCCCATTAAGCATGTGAATAATATTCACTTGAGTACAAAGTTAACTGTAATAACAAAAACTATATAGAGAACAAATAAGATAACATACCTCACATCCATGTCATACCAAAGGTGCAACTAAAATAAAATGCACATACATGACATTAACAAACAATCCGAAACAAAGTGGGCCCATTTACAAGATATCTATTACAACATTGACATTTGATCTTTGGACCAAAAATATCAATTTGTAAGTGGTACTCTTAACGCAACAATCAAATATTGACAATAAATCCTGTCAAGCTATAGTCTTCCTTTGGGTCGACTATTGCTCACATGAAAAATCTTTATAATCGTCACATATTTATTGCCACATGTGTATATATATATATATATATATCCAAATAAGAACCTTCCTTTGGGCCGATGATTATTCGCATAAATAATAAATATACTCATCTTTATACCTTATAATAAATACTTTTGCAACAATACTCTTTCAACTAATTTATTAAAAAATGCAAGACGCTTAAAAGCAATAATAATTAAATAAAACAACATAATTTCATAATTTCATAGTTTTATTTAATTAAATACTTGAGTTTCATAATTTCATTACTTTCAATTTAGTAAATGGGATTATAATAAAATTACCAAAACTTTGTCATATAAAGTTTTAATTGTTGACAATAAAGTTTACCCAAATTTTGTAATTGAGCGTAATTCCTAATAACAAATTATATATTTATATAAAGTTTTAATTGTTGACAATAATAATCCTTAAAATAAATAAATAAATAATTCCCGCAAATTGCAGATATTGCTGCTAATTTAAGAACAACATGCTCAACATTAATGTAATATCATATGTATAATCAAACAACGCAATAGACATACGTGACATAGACCAATAATCTGAAGTTAAATGTATTTATTTACAAGATACCTAGCACAATATTGACATTTAGTTTTTGGACAAAATTATCAACTTGTAAGTGGTACTCTCAATATAATAATCAAACATTGACTGTAATTCATGTCAAACCAAAGCTTTCCTTTGGGTTGACTATGACTCACATGATGAAGCTTTAACAATTGTCATATATTTATTATCACAGGTATGTCCATTACTTGGCCAAATAATAACCTTCTTTTGGGTCAATTATTATCCGCAAAAGCATTAAACACACATATGATCATACAAAATATATTATTTGGCCAAACAACAACTTTCCTTTGGGTCGATAATTATTCGCATAAATAATCTACATTTAGATGATCAACCTATTTGAAATCAAATTAACTTTCATAAATTTGGCCACTTTGGTGGCTAACAAATCTATCATATTCAATTTCAAATAGAGAAACCTTTAGGGATAATAAACCCATTTAAAAATAAAATAATAACAATAAAGAAAATTATTCTTTATCAATCCTCAATGTATATACATACATATTGTATCATTATATCAATAACAATAAATATCTTTTCATTATAAGGCTTAAAAATTGATGCCCAATCGACGCATAAGTAAGGCTTTTCAAAGGAAAGCTTGAAAATTAAGCACAATACCCAAAAAAAATAAAATCATATTTGACTTTTGACAAAGAATAACAAATATAAGAAAAAACCAAAACCAAAGACCTTAAACATTCTATTTCTTTCAAACAACAAACCTTCATCAATTATAAAGCCAAAATCTTCCAAACATTCCATCTTTATACATATTCAAAAATTTAAATAATAAACCCTTATTAAACTGTGAATTCTATATTTTCAAAAGATTGTAACTTTTGTTCCAAAACCAAAAATCACCGTGAGGAAAAAAAACAATACATACCTAATACAAAATACATGAGATGGAATCCATGTTCAAAAAAAAAAAACAAAAACAAAACTTTTCATGATTCATCATATATAAAAATCACAAAACTTAATTCCCTCATGATTCAATATTACGATGACTCTAATACCAATTATTGGAATGCTAATTCCTTTTAACCTTATGGTGATAACCATCACCAACAAACCAAGATTCATCATACCAAATCATAAAGAAATACTAATAAAAAGGTGGAGGCATACCTGTCTTCATAGCAGCGGAATAATTTCGATCTTTTCCTTTGGGGTATGTAATCTTCCTCAGTCAAATAGTATCCTTAATCTTTAATGTGCTGTCTCTCTCTTGATGGGGATTAGAAACAAGGGTTGTTTCATTATATAACATATTGGAGACCATAACTTTTTATAGTGTTTTTCTTTATTGTTGGACCAGTAAGCTCCCATTATACCTAGTTGACCAAACATTGATATCCACTTATTTGTCCACAGTTACTCCGAATCTATTTAGGTATCTTTATTTGATCACTTTAATTTATCCAATATATATTAAATAGCATAATATAATTATTAATACAATATGTTGCCTATCAACACGATAGGAATTATAATTTCCTAATAAAAAATGTATTCATTTTGAGAATGTTCAAATGATTAATTGTGTCAATAAGTGATTAGTTGACTAGTTTGGTTCAGACATGAATTGTTTTGTAATCTCCGATTTCCAAGAAATATGTACCATTTTCTTTCATAATGTTATTAAGAAATTAAAGGACACGGGAATTCATTTTTTGTAACTTTTCAGGTCTAAATCTATATTTATGTTTATTCGAAAGATCATTGGAGAGGTATCCAGAAAAATCAATCGCACACTTTTGCATATTGGTGATTACCTAGTTGGAATGGAATCTCAGCTGCGTGAAATAACCTCACTTCTAGAATTGGAATCAGACGAGAGAACCATCATGTTAGGGATTTGGGGAATGAGTGGAGTAGGAAAAACAACACTTGCCCGAGCTGTACATAATTCGATTTCAGACCAGTTTGAAGGTTTGTGTTTTCTTGCTGATGTTAGACAGAAATCACATGACCTTGGCATAGTGACGTTGCAGGAGACACTACTTTGCGAAATCGTTGAGGAGAAGGACAACAAGTTTGCTGATGTAAGTGAAATAATTCCATTACTAAGACAAAGGTTCCACCGAAAGAAGATTCTTTTGATTCTTGACGATGTTAGCGAACCGGAGCAGTTAAAGTCATTAGCTGGAGGATGTGATTGGTTTGGTTCTGGCAGCAGAGTCATTATAACAACAAGGGATCGGCGTTTGCTTTTAGACCATGGCGTTGATAGAGAATATGCACTCGACCCATTAGATGAAGAAGAAGCTCTTGAGTTGTTTTGTTGGAAGGCCTTTGAAAATAAAGAACCTGATCCAGTTTACATGAACCTATCTAAACAAGTAGTACGCTATTCCAATGGAATTCCGTTGGTTTTGGAATTAATTGGCTCTTACTTGTTTGATAAGCTAATAGTTAAATGGAAATCTGTGTTGAAAACACACCGCAGATTTTCTACAATAGCGAACGGTTTGAATGACATGATTTTCTGGATCCTGAAGATCTGCTACGATAGTTTGGATGAAGATGTGAAAACAATTTTCCTTGACATTGCATGTTGCTTCCATGGTTACGAACTGGACCATGTTACTTATTTGCTCCTGAATGGTCGTGGTTTCCATCCAGGATATGGTTTGCAAGTGTTGATTTCAAAATCTTTCGTAAAGATCGATGGTGGTCTGGTAAAAGTGCATGACTTGATAAAAGACCTGGCTATCAAAATTTTTTATCAGGAATCACCTTCAGATCCTGGTAAACGTAGTAGATTATGGTACTATAAAGACGTTCTTAAGGTTTTGCGACAACGTACGGTAAGCTAGAACAATCTGCATGGTTGTTTTCTGTTTTCAATCCCTTCACTTTCCTATTTTGATGAATATATGTGCTTGATGACATGGCTTTCCAATTTTGTATGTTGATAAACTTCATTGGCTGTAGAACATAATGCAACATCGTCCTTAAATAATATTTGTGAATTTCACTAGTTATTTATGCCAAATTCCTAAGTCATATGTATACAATATATATTAGCTAACTTATACTCTTGTTTTCAAGGGAACTTCTTGCGTTGAAGTCTTGAAGATTGACTTGCCTAAAGGCGAAGAAGTGCATTGGGATGGAACTGGTTTCAAGAAGATGACAAACCTCAAAATTCTTGAAATTAGAAACGCGCGCTTTTCTGAAATCCCGAAGATTTTCCCAAATAATCTGAAGGTGCTGATCTGGAAAGGATGCTTCAACTGAGCAATTCGTCGAGATTCCTATTGTCTTTAAAATGCAATGTTTTTTTAGACAAACCATTCAAGGCATGTTTACTTCCTGTATCCTTATATTCTTTCAAATCCATGAGGCCATGATTTGTTTGCAAATGTATGCTTGTCTTTTGATGTGATAATATTTTCTTGTTCGAAAGGTTTATAGAAAAACAAAATAAAACTATTATTTTGTTTGGGAATGAAAATTATAAAGAAGAGAAACAGAACGGAATGTAAGATATTTATTTTTAACCTATAGGTATATATTTCCCATTTCACTTCAATTTTAAAAACGAAAGCATAGTATTTGATAAAAACAGAGAGAAAGAGATTATTCTATTATTAAACTCGAAAACAGAGTGATTATTCTCTTTTTCATTGTTCCTTTTCCATTTTTGGAATTATCTTTCACCCAAACACAATCAAGAAGGAAAATATTGCTTGTACATTGGTCCAATTTAGACTCACTCGTAGTTTTTGATTTAGAGTCGTAGAACATTTGCATGACGTTTCAATAAGAAATTTTGTGATGACTTCCGAACTTGTACTAATTTTAATTTTCTTATTTGATGTCTTACGGACAGTGGTCAACAACCACCCCAGCCTTAAAGAGTCCAGATCTTGTCATCATATCTTCTAAACAGAGAGACCCGATCACTACTTTGCGAACCATTTTTTATTAACAGCCTTCTTTAATTTTCTTTTCAAATATCTAAAACTATAAATGATCAACTTTTTTTTTTTTTTTTTTTTTTTACAACTAAATAATTCTAACTACATAATTTTTAATGTGTTTAGAAGGTTTGAGGCCAAATGCTAGCGAGCCAGGGCTTGACACTTTTGGTTTATGTATGCCATTTTTCATTGCAAACATGCATTATGCTATATGTGAATCTTCCGATCCCACCTACCATGACGAATGAAAATGTATTCTACTGTTCACGGCTGAGATAATGGATTATTGCATGAACTTTGTAGTCTGGGTTGATTTTAGTTTAGTATTACAATATTTACTTAAAAGGGTTTAGGACTTGGAATTACAATTCAGACACCACTTAATATGCCAAATTTTCATAAACGGGCAATTCAAATCTTGAAAATATCCCATACTTGTAATTTAATCCTTGAATTTATTTTGTCTTTCCAATGGGTCCCTTAAACGTCAAACAAACCCATAGCAAGTTAAACGAAAGTTGCGGCTGCCATTGCACAATTAATTTGCACATATGGTCTTATAAAAAGATCAACTGAAGAATGTAATGTTCACAAGTCCCATGTATGTAACATATGAAAAATTTGTTTGTTCTTGTTTCTCGCTCTCTCCGTTTAAACCTTATATCCAGATCACCGTTGCATCTTCAATACCGTAAACCATTGTCGTCCGCGTCGGTTTCTACAAAGGAACTGAAATGGAACTCGACAACCAACGTTGTCATCACAAACCCAACCCTCGTTGTCATGGAATCGTGTTCCACCATGCGGCAACTGAGGCAGATTCAAGCACGCATGACCCGCATCGGTCTCATTGCCCACGTGTTCCCCGTGAGCAGGGTCCTTGCATTTTGCGCTCTCGCCGATGCCGGAGACATTCGATATGCCCACGTTCTTTTCGACCAAATTGAGGAACCCAATACTTACATGTGGAACACCATGATCAGAGGCTATCGTAAAGCCCAAATTCCCACCGTGGCTTTCTCCTTCTTTGTTCGAATGCTTCGAGAACACGTTGAAATGGACTGCAGGAGCTTCGTTTTCGCGCTCAAGGCGTGCGAGCAGTTTGCCGGAGTTTTGGAGGGGGAATCGGTGCATTGCGTTGTTCGAAAAATGGGGTTTGATTCCGAATTGCTTGTGCGAAATGGGTTTATCCATTTTTATGCTGACCGTGGTTTGTTGAAACATGCGCGCTACGTGTTTGACGAAAGTTCTTACAAGGATGTTGTTACTTGGACCACGATGATTGATGGGTATGCGACGCATAGCTGTTCAGATGCAGCTATGGACCTATTCAATTTGATGTTGCTCAGTGATGTTGAGCCCAATGAGGTGACGTTGATTGCGCTGCTTTCAGCTTGCTCTCAGAAGGGTGACCTTGGTATGGGGAAAAGCATTCATGAAAATATAGAAAAGAAGAATATGAGGTGCAGCTTAAGTTTACACAATGCCTTGTTGGATATGTATATAAAATGTGGTAGTTTGATGGATGCTAGAGAGCTTTTTGACCGAATGGAAACTAGGGATGTTTTCTCATGGACTAGCCTGGTTAATGGGTATGCTAAATGTGGAGACTTGGAATCTGCAAGGTGGTTTTTTGATCAAACTCCTCAGAAAAATGTGGTCTCCTGGAATGCTATGATTGCGGGATATTCTCAGAATAACAAACCCACGGAATCATTAAAATTGTTTCATGAAATGATTGGGGCAGGGTTGATTCCAGTTGAGCACACCTTAGTGAGTGTACTCTCTGCTTGTGGCCAACTGAGTTTCTTGAATTTGGGTTATTGGATTCATCAATATTTTGTCAACGGAAAAAGAGTGCCCCTTAGCGTTACTCTGGCAAATGCAATTATAGATATGTATGCCAAATGTGGAAGCATAGATGCAGCAGCAGAAGTCTTTAGTGCAATGTCAGAGAGAAACCTGATTTCTTGGAATTCTATGATTGCAGGGTATGCTGCTAATGGTCGAGCAAAGCAAGCTGTCAACCTGTTTGATCAGATGAGATATATGGAACTTAAGCCGGACGATATTACATTTGTGAGTTTGTTGACAGCTTGCAGTCATGGTGGGTTAGTTTCTGAAGGTCAAGAATATTTTGAAACCATGGAAAGAAACTATGGGATAAAACCCAAAAGGGAACATTTTGCATGCATGATTGACCTACTAGGTCGAACTGGGCTCCTGGAAGAGGCATACAAGTTAATAACAAATATGCCAATGCAACCTTGTGAGGCTTCTTGGGGTGCCCTTCTAAATGCTTGTAGAATGCACGGCAATGTTGAGCTTGCTAGATTGTCGGCTTGTAATCTTTTAAGCTTGGATCCAGAAGACAGTGGAATATATGTGCTGCTGGCAAATATTTGTGCTAATGAGAGAAAATGGGGTGATGTAAAGTGGGTGCGAAGTTTGATGAGAGACAAGGGTGTGAAGAAGAATCCTGGTCATAGCTTAATAGAGATAGATGGTGAATTCAAAGAATTTTTAGTGGCCGATGAATCACACCCTCAATCTGAGGAGATCTATAAAGTACTGGATGAAATATTTTTGTTATCAAAATTGGAAGACTGTAACTGTGAGTTATAGTCTTTCAATGGTGGAATCACATCTCTCTCTTAGACATTCCCAGGAAAAACAACTAACAACCTAAAACCTTGTCTTGCGAATAATATTTGATGCTTGTGGTGAATCTGATACTAAAATGGGTGGTGAATGGGGCTGGTCTTCTGTTAAGTCCAATGATTTGCTTAAACTATAACGAGTAGTACTTGTATTGCTGTTCATACTGACAAAGAGGATTCCATATGGTAGTTTACTTCAGAAAATGGTATATATTCCTGTTTGCACTTCTGTGAGCCTTTGCGGGAGGGTATTTGGTTTATATATTTCATTTGTAGCATAGGCATAGAGCTATTAGCTTCTGACCATACGTTCTACTGGGGATGGATGGTTACACCTAGCAACTGAGGCTAGAAACCATATTTTGTGTGTGACATTTCTAGGATAATTTGAGAAAGTATTCTTTAAGATTTTGTTGTTGTCATCATTATTGGGAGGAATAGCTTACTCGGCAACTATTGGGTAAAGGCTTCGTCCAAGGTCAACTTGCTTCAAGTGTTTTATTCATTGAACTGTTACATAGTTTTTTTGTATCAAGGTTGTTCCTTTCCAAAAACCCATATAAGTTTCTCATAGTAAAATGTAACCCAGTATCCCCCTCTGTAATATTAATCTCTTAAATTTATACGAGTTTATTTATTTTTGGACGAAATGAGGATAGGAAATTGTACTAGCTTATTTTTTGTCAATTAAATTGGATAGGGAAGAAATAAGTTGCAACCGTACGAAGAACAAGGTGAGCAGGTGCCCTAAGTTTCCAATAAAGATGAATGATCAGATAATGCAATGCCCATACTTTCAATATTATATATGTATTTATAGAAAGGATCTTTGGATTTAGAATTCAATCTATTTGTAATTAATAAATATGTCAATAAATTTCAATGATGGACGAAAATTAACAGTTAAGACAAAGAATAAGATTTCTAAATTTTACATTGGACATGTATTTGTTCTGTTATATGGTAATAGAATAACATGTGATTGGGTAAAATTAAACTCGGATGGGGCTGCAAAAGGTAGTTCAGGTACGACCGCTGGTGGGGGAATTTTCAGAAATTCAGCTAATCTTTGGTTAACTGGATACTCTTAGGTAGTGTTTGGTTCGGAAAATTTTTTTTTTCGCTAGGAAAATATAATTACTAGGTATCTGAGGAGAAAGTGAGTTATATAGGAAAATTTTAAAAATGTTATTGGGTTGGGCAAAATTTTACCAAAAAAATTGAGTTAAATTACTGAATGTGTGTTTGGTTGAAGATAAAATATAGATGGAAAAATTTAATCAAATTACAAAAGAACCCCCAATTGAAATAACCCTGTATTTGTTAAAAACTCGTTTATATGAAAAGTTTTAATCTTGATTGGAAGTTTCTAATTTTGTGTTTGTGGTAACTGTCTTGTGCACCAAATTTGTGTTTCAAGACTTTAGAACTCATTTTTATGCATTTAAAATATCAGCCATAGGTCTGGCTGTTCATATGTGAACCCAGGACATTGTTTTTTTTTTTTTAAAGTCTTTAGCTTTCTTGCATGAAAACTTAATTGGTTTGTGAATATATTAGTATCAGTTCGTGGTGGTGCTTGAATGGGAAATAATTTTGTCTGGTGGTGCTTTTAAGTCGTAAGAAGTGAAAGGATGGAGTGATGAAGGGTAACTTTGTCAAAAATTTTGTCCCCTTTTCAAATTGTCCGGTATTATTGAATAATACCATGTTTGAAAAGGGTTTCTTCAACAGTAGAAATTGCCCTCATTTACACTAAAATGCAGATAGCTGGGGAAGGAACTTTGATGGCTAAATTTTGGGTAATCCTTCAACCAAACGTGGAGAACTCAGTTACCCACATGCACTTTGCTGGGATACTAAGTAAAAGTCGCGAACCAAACACAACCTTATAGAATTAGTATTTGCAACGCTCTCACTGTTGAACTTTGGGGCATCCTCAAGGGCTTGGTGTTAACGTGAGAGCAAGGTTGGAAAAACATAATTGTTGAAAGTGATTCAACATTTGCTATCACCATTCTTTTTAATGCTGGTGATGCAGCCTGCGAGACTCACTTGATGTCTCGAATATGGGCATGGATGGATAAGGATTAGAGAATTCAATTGCGTCACACTTACAAAGAAGGCAACCACTGTGTTGATTGGCTTGATAATTTTTCCCTAGATAAATTAGATACACCTGATATGTTTATTTTTAGTTCCCCTCCCCGTTGGAATTAATTTTCTGTTTAATGCAGATTTAGCTTCTGTCTGTAGACCTCGTCATATTTCTACTTTGTAATCCTTTTGTGCTGTTGGTCTTTTCCCTTAGCTTACCAGAAAAAAAAGAATAACATGTGACTGATTTATGGTGGTAACGAAGTAAGGGATAAAAATATCGGTGTATAAATTTAATCTGTTTGGAAGAAAAATAAGTTTGAAGATAAATTTAAAAACTAAAAACAGCTAGAAGATGAATGCATTTTTCTTTTATTTTACGATAAACTGTAATGTTTTTAATATACATTGAATGCAAAAAAAATACATTTTATCTAAAATTTGTTCTGATTTCAAACTAATTCTTAATTAGAAATATAGGCGTACCTTAAGCTTTTTGACCTTAATTAAAATAAAAATTACCGCTTTGCCTTCGTACCAAAACATAACATCAATCTGTCCATATTTGACCGTTTACCGAGTTGTGTACTCGAGTACGGGGATTGATACTCGAGTATATTGCACGAAATAGTAAATACTCGGGTACACTATATACTTGAGTATTGTTCGTGATCTGGGTTTTTCTGAACATTTACTCGAGTACATGGGTGGTGTACTCGAGTAAATGTTTAGAAAAACTCATATCACAAACAATACTTGAGTATTCAACCCAAGTTACTTGCGAGAGCTGGGTTTTTTTTATAAAACCCTGACCATTGACAAGAACAAGTAATTGATTATACTAGCATACGGTAAACGATTATATTAGTGAACTGAGGCTCATATCACACATTCCTGATTGTTGGCTGGATCAATTAATCGATTACACCATCATATGGCTTTGTAGGTATCACAAGACCTATTATATTACAAAATTTGGGAAATTTTACCGTAAAATTTTGGATAGCTATAACTTTTGACTCGGGTGTCGGAATTAGGTGCATTTTTTTATTTCACGTAACTTTTGGTCAAACAAATTTCCTAAAAAATGTTTCCTTGTGTCCTATTCTGTATATTTTATCTTTAAGAATGACGTTATTTGAATTTTTACTTTCCAACACTAACAAATAACCCTTCAGGAATTTTCTTGTGCGTAGACGTCAAAAAATTATGTGGAAAAAAAAAATACCTGATTCGAACCCTTGAGCCAAAAGTTATGATTTTCCGAAGTTTTATGGTAAAAAAATAATTATCATACTTGAGTATAGGTCCCTGATACTCGAGTATGTGGTTCCATACTCGAGTATCAGGGTTTGTACTCGAGTGAAAACTCACGATACTTGATTTACTCGAATATATTGGTTACGTACTTGAGTATGAGCGCTAGTCAAACAAGGACATATTGGTGTATATTTGGGTTAAAAGGTCAATTTTTTAAAATAGTTTAAAAACATGGGCAAACTGATAAATTTTTTTATTAAGGAACACAATGGTAAAAAAGCCCGTACCTTAAGCTTTGTTGTTTTTATTTTGGGTAGCCCTAGGCTCGAATACAAAGTAAAATTGGGTTCGGTATGTTCTTGTGCTTGGGTTAGCCCAATATATTTCGGGTAAAAAATCTTGCTCAATTGTCGAAGCCTATCCTGAATATCAGGTAATAAAATGGAGTCAGCCCAACACTTTGCTTTTGCTTGTAGCTATGCCAGTGGGCATTCAAAGATAAATAGTCGAGAACACTTTTAGGCTTGGAATAAGAGGCAGAGGCAGGGGGAGGTTAGGGTGGGCAGCCGCCCCCCCTCCCTCCAAGTTTTGAAGAAAATTATTTTAACTTAATCTTTAAAGAGACCAAGGGTGCGCCAAGGACTCCCCCTCTTCCTCCCCTCCATTCTCAACTTTCCGCTGCAAAATGTTATTGATATATAAAGAGCAAACTTGCTTTGAGTTAATGAGTTACACATTTAAAATGAAAATATGTTGTATTAATTTCAGAAAGCATTAATACATTATAATAAAGCTAGATAATTTTTATAATGAGAAGTGTTATTTTGGAGAGCTTTTTTCATACTATTTACTTTTGAAGTTTGGTGTGTTTGAATATGCGCAAGTTTAGGGGAAGGTGCAAATAGACCCACAAGTAATATTGAATCTCTTTATTTTGTTATGATAAGGCTATATTATAGAGGAAACTTAGAAGCTTGTTTGAGTTAAATTGACCGAGAAAGCTATTGGTGAAAATGGCCCATGCCTTTTGCTGTGTTTAGTGTCTTTTGTGGAATGATGGCGGAGAGAGAGAGAGAGGCGGGGGAATTCGAGAGTGCGTGAGAGAGAAAGTGTGGTTGAATGGGTAAAAAAAAAAATCGCCCCCCTTGATTAATAATCCTGGCTCCGCCATTGCTTGAAATAGCCCAGAAAACAGTTAAAAGGATGCTTCCTTTTTATTTTGTTTATATTTTTTCTGAATACAAAAAGAATGCTTCTCACACTCGAAGAAATTGCCCAGGATCTCAACATTAATAATACTTTTATCCCAAATTAATTGGGATCGGTGACAGATAAATCTAAATGAAAAGTACGTAAAGATAGAGGAAAAAAAGGATAAAAATAAAAAGGGATAGAATATTCTACTTACCTTTTTTTTCATGCCTACCTTACCTACTCATAACACCGTTGAATCAGAATCTCAACTAACTTTCACTCTTTCTCTCTCCTCTTGAGATTATATATATATATATATATATATGAATAAATATTTCTTCAGTCACTGGAGATGAAGTTATCTCCAGGTAGCCCAAAATGACGTTATTTTATTTATTTATTTTCTTATATTAATTGATTCACCTTTGTATACCTATGATTCTCTTTTTCTCTCTCTTCCTTTATCACCATGGATACACTATTATATGGTTATAATTCAGTGAGTGGAGATAGGGGTGTAAATAGCCTGGCCTATATTGGGCCTAGCCTAGGCTGACATTTCTGAAAAGTATGAGAGTAGGCTTAGGCTTATAGGAAAACTTTTTTAACAAATAGGCCATATGCCAACTTTGTCAACCTTGGCCTAAAGCCTTGTAGGCTGGCCTATTTAATTTTTTAAAATAAAATAAAATAATATATTTATTCTAGGTGGCTAAGTCCCAACCCTAATTTCTTTTTGTGCGCCGACTCTTCTCAGTGACTTCTCACTCTCGTATCTCAGTTTCCTCTTTGCTCTTAGAACTTATAGCGAACCTCTCATTTATGTGGAAACCACCCTTCTTCTCTCCGGCGTGCTATTAGCCATCCGTTTCCCACAAGCCACCTCTACTTGGAGCTCGCGAAGCATATTTTGTTTAGGTACGCTCCTTCTCTCTATTTCTACGTCTCCTCTTACTCCTAATCTTTTTCCCCTCCCAAAAGCCCCACTTTTGTGATCTTCTTTATGGTACACAGAACTTGAAGACTTAATTCCTTCCATCCCTTTTCTGTGTGCGTGC